GCTCATTCGAGATCCAAACTCTGTTTCCCGAATCATCCTCATGCCATGCTTGAGGGAAAAATTGGGGCAAGAAAAGAATGCACTGACATTCGGGTCAAAAGTTAAAGGTGCGAGTGGCTTCTTAAAGATGTCAATATTACAAGACATGTTTGATGATGAGAATTTCATGTAAAATGTCAAAACAAACTTTTCCGAAGCGAATGAGGAAAACGATCGCTCGCTTAAAGATATGATTTAAAAATTAGCCGCCGTAGGCTTAACCTTTTGCGGTCATGTGTCAGGCAGGACCCGACATAAAAAAGATTAGTTCCGGTCATATGTCAGGTGTCACCCGACATCACAATAATATCATTTTTGCCGGCCGTCCATTGATCGGAGTTCAAAAATATAAGTAACTTTATGAGCAATGTGATTGCTTAATAGAAAAGTCTGAATGAATCATATATTTTTGTTGAAAAAGTCTGGATACATAATTTATTTTAAACTTTTTTGATTGAAATTAAATATGATCTGAAGGGATAACTAGTGGAAAATAAATATGACCGCAAAGGGTTAACATTTCAAAATGTTAACCATTTGCGGTCAACGTAAACGTGAGGAAAAGGCCGAAAAAAAAAGAAATGCGATTTCCGTGGAAATGCAAGAAATTTCTCTAAACGATTAGGGAAATTCCAGTTTTATATCTTCTTTGTAAAAAAGTTTACGAAGAATCAGAAAATTTCAGAATTTTTTTTACATTGCTAATGAATAAAAAACTACCCATTCATTCAGAAGTAGAATGTTGACCTATGCACCATGGTCTTTCTCCACACAGGCGATTCCTCATTGAAGACAATACGGAAGTAGTGGAGCTCCCGGAAGGATTCTTTGGGGTTCTTTCCTTCCAGCAGATAACGATAAACAACACTGCAGTCAGGAAGGTCCGCTCGTCAGCCATGCTCCCTTTAAAACACTTCCACGCAGATCTTGGTATTTACAATAGTCTTCTGAAGAACTTTCCTTTTCATATTCTTTATGAATTCCAACACCTGAAAGAACTCCATCTCCACAACAATTTGTTGACCCCTGTGCCGGCCTTCAAAAGCGACAGCCTAGAAAAACTCTCTCTCTATGACAATAAGATCACGAGTGTGGAGTTCGACGAATGGGCGACTCCCAAATTAAGAGAACTTCAACTTTACAGCAATTTATTGATCTCTGTGCCGGCCTTCAAAAGCGACAGCCTGGAGTGACTCTATCTTCATGACAATAAGATCACGAGTGTGGAGTTCGACGAATGGGCGACTCCGAAATTGAGAGAACTCTATCTCTACAACAATTTATTGACCTCTCTGCCGGCCTTCAAAAGCGACAGCCTGGAGTTACTCTATCTTCATGACAATAAGATCACGAGTGTGGAGTTCGACGAATGGGCGACTCCCAAATTAAGAGAACTTCAACTCTACAACAATTTTTTGACCTCTGTGCCGGTCTTCAAAAGCGACAGCCTGGAGTTACTCTATCTTCATGATAATTAGATCACGAGTGTGGAGTTCGACGGATGGGCGACTCCCAAATTGAAAAAACTCTATCTCTACAACAAAATATTGACCTCTGTGCCGGCCTTCAAAAGCGACAGCCTGGAGTTACTCGGTCTGAATGACAATAAGATCACGAGTGTGGAGTTCGACGGATAGGCGACTCCCAAATTGAGGGAATTCGTCATTGGTGAGTATTATATATTTTATGATGTTAGTTGATTCACAACAGTGCCTGTGTCTTTCGGAACACTTTTTCTACAACTAATGGAACCGCATCCTTGAAAAGGAAGTGATGCTAGTTACATTCATCAACCATTCGTTCCCGAATGTACTTTTCGGGCAAGAGCCTCCACAAACTTCTTTTTATCGGAAAATCTTGCTGCCATAACAGAGAGGCACTGATATGTTTTCTGGCCTTTAACCCATACCCGGTTTGTTCTCGCGGATGATTTTTCACAAGCGCGAGATGTATTGTCAAAAATTGTCTGTTGCTCACTATAGCGGCAATTCTTTGAAACATTTATTTACCTCGTACATCGACTTGTAGGGCGAAAAGCAAGGAAGGTTTTCATGTAATTTTCGGGAATATTCGTCAAAATGCAAACGAGACAGTAGCAGTTTTCACTATGGAAGTTTGCAGGACGGAATTGGAGTTGGGTTTTATCGTTTACTGATTGACTATACGGGGAAATGGATGGGTCTTTTACATATGAAAACAAGAAGGATGTATATTTTTTAAATCAATCGAAATCAATATGTGACCAAATCAACTTTGCCTAATTGAATAAGAAACCTTTAGAAATTCCCAGTAATACCAGCAAGGGGTCCTCCCAGGGCCTTCCGCCAAGCTTTACCGCGTTGTGGGCCATCCAATTGATTAGTAAATGAATTGCGAAAAGCGAATCAAAGGCTGAAGCTTTCCTCAAAAGACAACTTGGCTTCCATTATTTTTATGAGCCATTCCTAAAATTACCATTTAACATCTTTTCAGCGAATTTATGAACAACGCAGTACAAGAGATTTGGAGGTGTGTATGACTCTATTCAGGAGATTCAATCAGGGATGGGCAATCTGCTTTTAATTATTTCTCTGTCTTTTCACTTGCGTCGATCCTTTGTTTAATGAGATACAACGTTGAAATTCAGAAACACCTCTGTGTATTTTCTACTCGGGCTGATGCCAAATGTCTTCCCTCTTCCCAAGTCCCATGAAATATAGATCCGCCATCATGCCGCCCGAACCTTCTTGTCAGATTATACAGGGGTAAACCGGACAAGTGTTAAGGTATCAAAGATATCTCTATTTCGCTCGGACTCGAGAATAGACTAGGATGGGTTCATTCCAATATTCCTCCATGTTATTTTATTGCTTAGTTTGAGATGAAATGATTCGAAAAACCTTTGAACGGCAAGTAGAGCGAAGCCTCAATCCAAATAAAATCTTCGAGTAATGATTCCTGCGTGCTCCAGAATGTGTATTTGCAGGGATTTTACCGATTCTACGAGTTTCCTGGACTATCAATATCAAGAATGAAGAAATGGTCCTTTTTAAATTCAGTTGTGATATGCGATGCTTCGATGGCACTGTACGCGCAATTTTATTTCAATTCTATGAAGCATAAGCGTAGCTGTTCGTGCAGCTTTTCCTCATCTCATTAATCTCGTTTTGCGGTCACGCAGCACGAAATCCTCTGTCGGGGCTCCCTTCTGCAGCAATCAAGGGCATGAAGAATCTGGAGACGTTCCATTGTTACGAGTCCAATCTCGGACCAACCCTTTCACGAGGTGTACTGGAATTCCAGAGCACGGCCTTGAAACTAGTAACGCTCTGGGGCAACAACATTTCCGAAGTGGAGGAAGGAGCCATCACAGGTATGACACCTCGTTACATCTGATCATGGAAAATACCCGCATCAAACTCGTCATAAATACTGGTTTGGACATTTGATCCATGATGTGTTTGTTGCGACCCTTCCAATTTAAAATCTACCTAGATGACCGACCTTCTTTTTGCTTCTCTAGGATAGATACGAGCTGCCATTGCATGTTCCGAAGGAGTTTGTAAATTCATGATCCAAGAGCATTTTTCGTAGGTAGAGGAAAGGGTTGGACACCATATAAAACCTTGGGGGATGAATCATTCTGTGAAACACCCAGGAAATTGAAGATGCCTTTATGAAACTCATCTGGATGCTTCTTCATGCTTGTGCAAGTTCATTCACGCACCCAGGTCATTTCGTGTTCTTGTTTCCACAGAGTTTCAGAGAAAAATATCAATGGAACTTCATGGACTAAGAGCGATCTGCAATCTATGGTGCCCAATCATGGACGATACAGGAAAATTTTATTTCCTTTTAATGTTAAGCTCATCAGATTTGAAACTAGATGAGTCGTCTACCACCACTGGTCCTTGTGGTCCGAATGTAATTGCGAGCAATGGAGCACATCAAGCTGTTTGCACTGACGATGAAAACGCTTGCTTCACAACGCTCCTGAAGGATATTTAGGACTGGTCGAAGAATTGCGCGATACAGCTGCTGCTGGATATCTGTCGCACTTTTCTGTTCTGTTTCGGATTAGGGTCCTTCCAGATCGTGGCCTCCATTACGCTCGATATCGACACGTCCACTGTGTGACGCGTCCTTCGACGAGCGTTGTCGATGCAAACGCGCAGCGTCTTCAAACCCAGTCGTTCCTTATTAGAACTTTCGCACGCACTTGTGAACATTGTTTCTTGCAATTCTTGCGTTCTCCTTGTAAATGACGCGTCCTTCGACGAGCGTTGTCGATGCAAACGCGCAGCGTCTTCAAACCCAGTCGTTCCTTATTAGAACTTTCGCACGCACTTGTGAACATTGTTTCTTGCAATTCTTGCGTTCTCCTTGTAAATTCCCAGCGTCTTCGACGAATTTCGCTGCCGTTCACCCTTTCTTCGCCCATAAAACGGATCACACGACGCACCTCTTCATTAGTGCAATCAAGCCACCATTTGTCATGCCCGTGGGAGGCACATGGGATGACAGGAAAGTCATATGTCACGGTATTCGCTGCGCTCATATTCTAAGCAGTAGTACCAAGTGCGAAATACGTTGCTACTTGTATTTCTACGTCACGAATGCAGGTGTTCTTTTACTTTTTGACTCACCCTCGTACTTTTATGGGCATTGAAAAAAAAATCCAATTTCAAAGTTCGCCGAAGCGAAGGACACTTTTTCGCGTCAATGATGTACGCTATCGGAGTCCCTAATTCCCCTCAGGAGGTGCTAATGTAAGTTATCTAATTCGACTTTAAATTGTTTATACAATGGTTCACTTTCCCACATCTTCTTGTGCACATACGCTGAAGGCCACTGCTTTTTATTACCGCGGGGGGTTAGTTCCGTTCCATCACATTCTCTATCCGTAGCACGGAATAATGAAATGAAGAACCGTAATCCATTAAAACAAAGCATTATCGACGTTCTAAAATACGAGTGCTGAAATGAGTTTTTGGGCAGGTATGAACTCTTTCCTACTGAATATTTGTCGGCGTGTAATAAAATATCAATGTAAAGTCAGCAAGAGTACGGGCATGATATGAAAATCGGATCACTTATATCTGAAAAACTTAACAATTTTCTTAGTATGTCTGTGTCACTAATGTTGTATTTAATGCAAAGATCTCACCTTGAAAACAAGTGAAAGTATACCTGCAGGGTACTTTCTGACAGGCCCTCATATTGTTATTAATTTGCAGATGGATTATTCATCCATGACGGAAATTGTTTGGCGAAAGCAAAAAGTTCCAGGACATTCCATTCCAAGAGGCAATCGAATGCTATTTATTGCTATAGAGAGGTAACAACTCCCCAGCAATTATGTTGACTGGTCATATATCCAGGAGTCCTTAAACTCTTAAAGAAACCCATGGAAAATAATGAGGGAAAAACCATGCAGATGCAATTTATGGAAACAGGCAAAATCACAGACGGTATATGAGTCGAACTCAGTGGATGCATTCAGTGCTGCTCCGGTCATAACAATAACTCTATATTTTTTCGCCAACAGGCGGAGTGATCGGATGCGGACAACTCAGCACCATTCAACATGGATCCTTTACTATCGAGTCTTGTGGCAGCCCATCTGAAGAAATTGCTAAAAGAAGCAATGCTAGCTGCATTCAAGATGAAAGCTATGCATTTTCGAGCATCGTTAGATACAGATGCGAGAAATATTATGAACTTCAGGGACCGGAATTCAGAAGATGTGCGGAAGATGGAGAATGGACAGGACCCACCCCGTTTTGTAAGCCAGGTCGGTTTCTTTTACTACCATATTCCCTATTCACCTGACACATCTCTGCTATTTCCGAGTGACTCTATTTGTACCGTTCTATACGCAGTATGCGGAAAGAAGGCAAGTCAAATTCAACTATCCGCAGGAGGAAATCCATCTGAAATTGGAGAATGGCCATGGCAAGCGGCCATTTATGACATCAAGATTGGAGATGTTACATATGGAGGGGCTCTCATTAGGGAAGAATGGGTGCTAACAGCTGCCCATTGTGTCGTTGTAGATGGTACCATCAGAACTCGGCACTCTGAAGAAATTTTTGTGTACCTTGGGAAGCATTACCGATCTTACATAAAAATAGACGAACACGTACTGATCAGACAAGTTCAGTAGCCTAACATTTTCCTATTTCCATCTATTCTTTTCTGATTATGCAAACTGTCGCAATCTCCTTGCAGGTGTCTCACATCATCTTGCACACGGAATTCAACTTTTATAATAACTACGACTCGGATATAGCTTTATTGAAACTAAGAAGACCTGCTGTTCTAACGGCTCGAGTTCAGTTGGTATGCCTCCCGAACCGATTTGATTTATCTGAGGCAAACCTCGACAGTGGAGTGCCAGGATGGGTAAGACACCAAATTTCTTAATATCTCTGCCTAGAATTTAACCTTCAGTGTTCGTGTTGCATGCCTTCTTATTCGATTGCGTAATGATGCAGGTGGCCGGTTGGGGTTATGACGATTCGGATGAACTCGCCGCTGTCCTGACGGAGGTTCAACTCCCGGTGATATCCAATCGCGAATGTGTTCGGGACACCCGTCATTTCACGGAAGACCCCAGCGTCACTCGTACCCTCACCTCAAATATGTTCTGCGCTGGTTTTTCCGTGGATACTCCTATTAAAGGTATGGTCTTCATAATCCATGATTGCGTCAAACTCGCAAAAATGCATTCTGATTTCGTCAATTCAGCTCTTCTCAATTCCACACGCAAGCTTCGTCCTTTGGGAAACCTCTTAAATGTTAGTAGACAGGCGTGCGTCCGCCTACCCGCCCCAGCATTGAAGCAGAGGGTGCGTAATATGCAAAGTGTGAATCACTTTAAGAGTCCTACGAACAATTGCAAGGGTGAAGCTGAGTATTTTTTCCTCTTTCGCGTGGGGAATTCCAATGTCGAATATTCTCGGTCGGTTTACTCATGGTAATTAAAAATGACACTTCCGAAGAATCCATCGCAATGCAGGAATTGAAGGAATCAATCGTTGCCAATATGAAAGAAGGTCGCCTCATCCGCGCATCCCACAACGTTATTTCCTTTGCAGTGCTCGGAATTCTCTGGAAAACGTTCTTCCAGTATAGGCGCGTTATGACGATCAATGAACGACTGCAGGTTAGAAAAGCTAGTAATATATACTGGGGAAGAGACAGCAGACCATATAGTACCTTTTGCCAAGACTCGAGAAAGGGGGGAAACCTCATATGTCCAACTAATGACAACTCTATCAGGCAATTTCCATTAAGAACTTGATAGAAGCACTGAATACATGAACGAGTAGGAGTTATAGATGTGAATTGATTGTACACAAGGGGAGCATTAACCGGTTCATGCCGTTACCGCTAGAGCTTGTCATTTGTCGGTAGTGACATCGCAGATTACTATAAAGATGGTCTATAACTGTAAAGGTAACTACACAAATGGATAAACGTTGAGTTTCGTATTGTCATTAGATTTATTCATGCATTTTTAGTAACACTGATTCTTCACTGCAATATCTTTTAGAAAATGAATAAAGCAATAATCATGATGATTACTTCTGCGCAGATTTTCGAACAGTGTGTGAAGGGGATTCGGGGAGTCCCATGGTCTTCTTCTCCAATACATCACATGACGGCCACTGGACGATGGAAGGGATCGTGAGTCACTTTTTCCAGAAAGGTGCTTGTTCCATGAGACGCCCTGGGCAGTATGGCATATTCACCAAAGTTAATAGGTGAGATCCGTTTAATCCTATTGAATTTCATCATTCGCATCCCTGTCCTCCCTTCTCATAAAAAATACGATTTCCTCTTTCTTCCCTACAGGTTCACCCAGTGGATAAGCAGGGTAATACATAGTGGTTTCTGACAAATCACAATTGATTCAACTATATGCAAAACCTTGACAACCGAAATGAAAAAAAAGAAATTTCCTAATATCTTCTGCATTTTTGCCAATGCACACACGCACACATCCACACAGAAGAGGATGCCAAAAGCCGCCCCCCTCGTTACAGACCAAAATAGCTGTCAATCGATACATCTTGATGAGTAGATTAAAGTTTTCAATGGACACAAATGTGGCAGAGAGTGCGTTCATTGAGTTACCGGTTATCAAAGTTAAAATATTCTGTTAGTTCTTTTGCTGCGTACATACATACATACATTTTCTTGGCCGCTATTCCCAACTTAATGGGGTCGCGGTTCGAGCATTCCCAGGAGCGCCCTTCAGAGATCTCGATCGTGGGCAACAGATTCAAGCTCAGCTGGTGGGATGCCGAGCCTCCCGTGACAAAGCCGAGCGACGTAATCATTCCACCTTGTACAAGGTCTACCGACAGGTCTTTTGCCGGTCATCTCGGCCTGGAAGACTCCTTTTGGGAGCCTTTCAGGAGGCATGCGGCAGACGTGACCAAACCACCTGGCCTGAGACCTCTCGATCCGGAGAAGCAGTTGCTCGACGTGGAGCCTCTCGCGGATGGCAGAGTTCCTCATCCGATCGCGGCGCGTTACGCCAGCCACTCGACGCAAGAACCTCATTTCGGCAGCTTGTATTCGTGATCTGGTGCTTTCGTTCAAAACCCAAAGTTCATGACCATAGGTGAGGGTGGGAGATAAACACTTTTAAAAACCGAGAGTTTCACTTCCTGAGAAACCCGAGATCTGGCAACCACGGTTCGCCAAAGTTCCGGCAGAACTGCAGAAACCTTGGAGATGCGGTTGTCGATCTCGTTTCCGTATCGCCCGTCACTCGGAAACCAGACCGCAAGATACTTGAACTTCTCCACCTGTTCCACCTATCCTTACCGCGACGTCACCGATGTTAACCCCCTCCAGGCCGAGGCTGCGCCTACAGATCCTGTCCATGTACACGAGGAACAAAAAAGGTGAGAGGACACAACCATGCCGGAGTCCAGCGTGTGCCAGAAAACAATCGGAACTCTCCTCCCGCGCACTCGGACGCTGCTCCTGCAATCGCCACAAACGGACTGAACGGCCCGCAATAGCTGACCCTTGATCCCATACTCCTGCAGCACTCTCCAGTTTTCCTCGGGGTACACAGTCATAAGCTTTTTCAAGTTCCACAAAGCACATGTTTACATCTTTGGTATACTCCCAATGTCTCTCGAGGATCTGGTGGAGAGTGAACAGCTGGGTCGTGGTGCTGCACCCTTCACGAAATCCGCACTGCTTCTCTTGCATGGCATCACCCACAACTGCCCGAGCTCTCTGCACCAGCACCTTGGAATAGACTTCACCAGGTATGATGAGGAGAGTGATCCCACGATAGTTTGTGCACTCCCTCGAGTCCCCCTTATAAAGAGGAACCACCACACCGGCTTGCCAATCCGTAGGTGCCGTTCCCGATTCCCAAGCAGCCTGACACACCCTATGAAGCCACGAGCACCCATCAGTACCCATTGCTTTCAGAGTCTCCGCCCGGTTTTCATCCACACCAGGAGACTTCCCATTCTTCAGGCTACCAATGGCCTACAGAACTACCTTCATGGTGAGACTAGTCTCCGCGTTGAGAGGTTCCAGGTCGGGTGGTCAGTGTCCACTATTGGTGGGTTTAAGAGCTCTTCAAAGTGTTCCTTACTGAAGCCTGAACTCGTGGAGCAGACTAGGAGGAGACGACTAGATATACTGTGTACTGTAGTTGGCCTAGCCTCAACCAAGAGGAAAGGCACCGGTTCTCTCACTGATTTCTCTAGACCACGGATGGACCCTCTACTGGAGCGGAGTCGACTCGACCGTGTTTGCTCAGGCTGGAATAGGGATACTCATTAGTCCTCAACTGGCCGAAAGCGTCGTCAAATGGAACCCAGTCTGCGAGCGTGTCGCTCTGATCCGCCTCAGACGGGAGCAAGTCGGAGTCTTGGCCGTCGTTCAGACCTACGGGCCGAACAGCGAGCCTGATTATGATGCGTTTTTTTGGAGGAGGTGAATGGAACCATAGGAAGGATTCCGAACGGCGACCGCGTAGTGCTGATGGGGGACTTCAATGCACGAGTTGGGATAGACGATGCTAGATGGAGTGGTGTGATCGGTCGATTTGGGGACGCCACGCCGAACGGGAGTGGCAGAAATTTTGCTGGACTTCTATGCTCACAATGGCCTGACCATCACCAACACCTTCTTCCAGCACGAAGATATCCACAAGTTTACCTGGCACAGATACTTGTAGTCGGACTGGTACTGTGTACCAGCAATCGCTGATCGATTACGTGATCGTTTCGGCGGACTTGTGGGGCCTTGTGACGGATACGAGGGCGCAAAGATATCCACAAGTTTACCTGGCACAGATACTTGTAGTCGGACTGGTACTGTGTACCAGCAATCGCTGATCGATTACATGATCGTTTCGACGGACTTGTAGGGCCTTGTGACGGATACGAGGGCGCGGCGTGGGACGGAACTGAGAACGATCATCATGTAGTGGTCAGCAAACTTCGGATACGAGCGAATCTTAGAACGAGGCAGAGAACCGCACGCGTTGAAAGGCGAGTGAGGTGGGAAGCCCTTCGCGATGAAAGAATGAGTGACGAATTTGCGAGGGAGATCGGCGAGAAGTACTCCCAACTGCCTCCCCAGACGTCAGATGTAGAGACCGAATGGACTCTATTTCGGTTTCGTGTCTCGGCAGCGGCAGCAAGAGTGTGTGAGGAGAAGCGCATCGGAGTGGCTCAGGGTAACGCCGAGCGAACGCCCTGGTGGACACCAGCGGTGCGCGAGGCTGTCACTGCCAAGACGCCTACCGGGCGTACATGTCCTGTATGGACATACGTTTCTTCTCGGCTCCAGCTAAGTTATTCAATTTTACCCACTGGTGCATGACCACCGCGGCCGTTTAACTAAGGCACATCGAAAAGTTTTATATTACGCCAAGAATATGAGGAATGGGATGCATACGACAGGTAATCTCGCTATTTATTTCGTGATGAACTTTTGAATCTCCTTCAAAAGCGATCTCAATCCAGGCCAATTGGATGTTTTTGGCACTGGAGTGATTCATCTTGTATCACTCGACTTGCTAACTATATTTTTGCTCTGAGACGTAAGCTTCACATCGTACGACGCAGTTGCAGTAGCGTCTCATTCCAAACTCTGCGTGATGAAAAATTTTCGAGGTGTCCCAGTCGAACAGTCGCTGTGGGTTTGTGCAATCTGGAAGCTAGAATGTATCGTTCTTGCGGAGCCGAGAAGAAAGACAAATGCATACGTTGTACGATTTGGACACCTGCTTCAAACGAAATCTGAAAATATTGTGGGTTTTTCATGCGCCAACCGGTAACTAGACAACTGTTGACGTTATTTCTTAGTATTGATACATTCCGGATATGATGGAAAACTGAAATGTAGTGCATCCTCTTTATAACCTTAGTTAGGAATCGTAGAAACCTTCAAAAAGGTGTAGTGGATGCTCGTATTTCGTAGTTCCTCTTAATTCAAGGATGTCCATGGAAGGATGCCTGATGTGTCCATATCCTACAGCATTGATCTGTCATCGTTAACCATCGTTACAATCTCAACTCATCCAATAGAATCAGAAATATGTCATGGTACATGAAGGAAAGCAAAAGATCCAGGTACAGATAATGTAGCTGTGGCAGTCGAGAATCGCGTAACTCCAGCACGATATCCGGTAACCCAAGAGAACGGGATCCGAGCCCGCACTCTGAGTTTAAATTGACTGATTGCTAATTTCTTTTGTCACGGCGAAATTCTGTACCACAAAGACATTCGTAACCTACAAGTCATTTCTTTTTTTTTTTAGTAGGGTCATCCTCTATGAAAGCACACCATGAGCGACTAATAATGAGTGGGGGGGAGGGGTTTCCTGAGTGTGTGAATTTCTGTCGTAGATTATGCGATATGCATGGTGTGCAGAAATTTACTTTATAATTGGATTCTACTACACTGACTTTTTGATTACCTTGTATATACTACAAGCAGCATTAGACTGCCGCGCACTGGTGTGCAGGAGAGGCAGGGAAGAGTCAAGTGTTTCTACGCGAATGCACGCAGCTTACGTAATAAAATACACGAGCTCAAAGGGAGGGCACTGGAAAACGTTTTCGATGTCATCGGAATAACCGAGACTTGGGGTGGTTCTCACATTTCGAATAAGGAATTCGAGATCGAAGGGTACGACATCTTGCGGAAGGATAGACTCGGCAGATGGAGGGAGGAGTCGTGTTGTACGATAAAACCGAACTGGGCGTTCGCGTCAGAGAAGATACCACCTCGAGTAACTGCGGAGCAAACGAACAATTATGGTGCGAGATCGGTGGGGCAACTGGGAAGATCGTGATAGGAATTTGCTATCGGCCCCCTAACTCTTCCCTCGAGGATGAAGCAGTGTATTTTTCACTCATGCGTAGAATCGGCGAGATCTCGAAGCAGGTATTACTCTTCGGAGACTTTAACATGCCAAACACAGATTGGTCGGTGCCGCGAGGGGGGTGCGAATGGGATTCGCTTTATTGGATGTAGTTATTGCGACGAACGACGATCTGGCACGAGACGTTAAGGTACAGGATAACTTGGGAAATTCGGACCATTGCGCGAAGACGTGGAATATCAAGTGAAAGAAGAGTAAGGCCAAACCGAGGAAGGTTTCGTGCAACTATAAAAATGCTAATTTCGAGAGACTACGTGAATGCGTTTCGGGCATCGACTGGGAGGTGCGGCTCTGTGGGCTGACGGCAGAGGAGCAATGGGGGCGTTCAAGACTTTATTGCAGGGCTTTATGGAGGAATGCATCCCCAAGAAATCCATGAAATCGGGCAGGCAACCGGTCTGGTTTACGGGTAAAATGAAAGCTCTCATCAGGGATAAAAAGCGGAAATGGGATGCGTACAAGCGCACGGGAGAAAGCACGGACTATGAGGAATATAGTAGGATCAC